AAACAAGCTCTGACATGCACAAGCTTACAGACAAGCTCACTGTCACACACACATGCTCATTGACACCCACATGCTCACTACAGACAAGCTCATTGTCAAACATATGCTCACCACAGACTAGATCACTAACATACACACATGCTTCCAACAGACAAACCCACTGACACACACACACACAAGCTCACTCAGGAGCAGACATACACACACACACACACACAAGCTCACTCACTAGTAGCCACACACACACACAGTAATTATTATTATGTTATTATTTATATAGTGCCAACAAATACAAACATGTAGTTGTAACCAGACAAGTTGGACACACAGGAACAGAGGGGTTGAGGGCCCTGCTCAATGAGCTTACATGCTAGATGGAGTGGGGTATAGTAACACAAAAGGTAAGGATTATTAGACTAATGACAGTTGCAAGAGAGTAATCAGTAAGGAGCTATTAACAGTTTAATTGATACGCTTTTATGAAGAAGTGGGTTTTTAATGATTTTTTTGAAGTTGAGACTGGGTGAGCATATAACAGAGGAGGGAAGTGAGTTCCACAGGAACAGTGCAGCCCTCGAGAAGTCTTTAAGGCAAGCATCAGAGGTGGGAGTACGGACAGAGCGTAAGGGCCTAGATGGGACATATGTATTAGGAAGGATAGATAGGTGGGAGCAGCATTATGTAGAGATTTGAAAGCAAGAACCAGAATTTTAAATTGAGCCCTACATCTTACAGGAAGCCAATGTAGGGACTGACCGAAGGGTGAGGCGTGGGAGGTGCGGGCTGACAGGATGAGCCTCGTAGCTGCATTCATTATGGAGTAACGGCGCAAGTTGGGAGCACGTAAGACCACTGAGAAGCAGATTACAGTAGTCAAGGCGGGAAAGGACAGTGGAATGGACCAGCACCTTTGTCGCATTTGGCGTTACGTAGGGCCGGATGCGCAGCAATGTTTTTGAGATGGAAGGGGCAGGATAGAATGAACATGAGGGGTGAAGGAGAGGTTGGAGTCAAAGAGAACACCTAGGAAGCGAGCTTGCGTGTTGGAGCTGATGGTAGCACCGTTGACTTGGAGGGAGACAGACACAGGAGTAACAACACTTGAGGAAGGAAAGAACAGAATTTCAGTTTTGGTCAAGTTGAGTTTAAGGAAGTGGGCAGCCATCCAGTTAGAAATAGCAGAGAGGCAGTCAGAGACATTAGTCAAGAGGGACGGGGAGAGATCAGGAGAAGACACATAGATTTGTGTGTCATCCGTGTAGAAATGATAATGGAATCCAAAGGAGCTAATGAGTTTACCAAGGGAGGCAGTATAGATGGAGAACAGTAGGGGACCAAGCACTGAACCTTGGGGGACACCAACAGAGAGAAGTTGGGGAGAAGAAGCAAAGCCAGAGAAAGAAACACTAAAAGAGTGCTGGCAGAGGTAGGAGGAGAACCAGGAGAGAGCAATATCTTGAAGACCGATATTGTGGAGGATGAGAAGAAGCTGTTGATGATCAACAGTGTCAAAAGCCGCAGAAAGGTCAAGGAGAATTATGATAGCGTAGTGACCACGAGATTCCCGGTGGGCCAGTTCGGCCCTGCTTTCCTGTGGGGAAATCCTAATGCGAGTGCAGCCATTGCCGCACATGTGCATTATGTCTCCCCCGCCGGGGCTGGATTCAGGTAAGTGACTGAAGGGACGTGAAACTATAGTGCCAGGAAAGTGACTTTGATTTCCTGGCACTATAGAATCCCTTTAATAAAATGAGTGTGCTGCACATGTGTTACATTGGTTTACTCTATTCTTTGCTATTAATACCAGTGCGAATTGAAAAAAGCCTGGGCTCCAAAAGCAATACAGGAGGTCCTAGTTTTGTGACCTACCTGTTTTACGATGGCTCGCAGTTACGACCAGCTTTCTTGTGGGGTAGTAAGTGCGAGCCATCATGGGAATTAGAGGGATTTCCTGATCTGCTGTGTTCGTCTGTGTTCAAGGACATTCCCCGAACATAGACAAACGCAACAGAGCAGGTAATCCCTCTAATCTATGTTCGGGGAAATTTTCCCGAGCATAGATTAGAGGGATTCCCTGTTCTTGTACGTTTGTCTATGTTCAGGGAAATGTCCTTGAACACAGACATGTGCACCAGAGCAGGGAATCCCTTAACTCCTCACTTACCGAACAATAGGAACGGAACCCGGTTGGTAAGTGAGGAGTATCTGTATTATTTAATTCCATGAATATAATAGTTATACGTTTTCTTTATAGTTTTAATTTTACTATATCTTTCTGAATTCAATGTTATTATAATTAAATTATTACTAATAAGTGTTTTTTTTTTTTCCTCTTAGGGATGTTATGAGTCTGGGGATCACCTCTGTAGAACATCAGAAAACTATTCTCAGCGGAATACAGACCTTAAGGGCACAAGTTATACAGATGCATGGTCGTGGTGTTCAAGTGTGATAGAAGGATGAAAACTCTGGGACTCAGAAATCCAAAGGGGAAGCTGTATGGGCCCTAAATTTGGGCATAAAACTTGAGCAGACATGAAAACGCAAAAGCTATGGAGCCGATTAAAGGAACTGGGGTCATGTCTCCTTTTAACTCCCTGTAAGGAATTGTAATATTGCCAAGTGTGGATGTTTAACCGTTCGATGGAGGAAGTCGGCTCGGCAAAGAAGGAGGATTTATTTTAACCCTTCCATTGAGAGTGTTAAATTTTATTGTGCATTCATAATGCCATATAACTGCAGACTGCAAAATTGGGCTTATGTTATTGGACTCCTAATAAGCCCAAATGTCTGTATGGTGCATAGGCATACAGGGTGAGCTGAACAAAGTGTGCACTTGTTTCTACATGGGGTACATGTTGTAATGTTTTGGTGCCAACAACTCCATTTAACTATAAGTACTTAATATTTTTCTAACAGCAACTGTGTTGTACTGACTCCCAGAAATAGCTTTTATTTTTTCAGAATGTTAAAAAAATACCTTTTTTTATACCAGATCAAGTGTCCAATTGATATGTGTTTGGTGCAGAAATTGCTAGTCTTTTCCTTCTTCCTTACTAAGCACTTTTTTCTCAGCGGCATTAAATGATGGCATCTCTCTCGTGGGGCAAATGAAATGAAGTTGAAGTGGTGCAATTTGTCTTGGAGTTGAAGTTCAATGTGAGCAATCGCTTACTTCGCAAAGGTTTATCTGACAGTTTGCTAGCAGCGTGAAGGTGAGATCAAATAGCAAGCTGAAAAAAAGGGAAAAAAAATAAACAAAACAAACAAAAAAAAAAGAACAGTTGTACAGACACTATAAAGAGTTGCCCTGGATGAAGACAGTTGTGTAAGGGAAAAAATATGAGGCTGTTTGCCGATATAGAGAATGATGTTGCTTCTTGCTTCTATTGACAAGTCTCCTTCCAGTTTCCAGCCTAGGGCATTAAAATGCAGGTTACGCCCAATGGCACCCAAATCATATTATGTTATGTATTATGTTAATACGTGCTATAAAGTTTGCAACACTTGTCATTGTTTAAGAACAGCACTCAAATTACTGATCCTGCCAGGAAATTCATTAAAATGATTCCTTTATTAAAAACCATGTCATAAACAGCATCTTTCAGCCTCACAATCTCAAAACAAACTAAAGTGCTTTGGTGTTGGTAGATTAATCATGGATTAATCGGTGATTTAGTTCACTGGCTTTCTCCAATTTTAATGAGTCAGTTTGTGGTAAAACAGTATGTTATACAATGTGTCCTATGAAGAATTACAGAATAATGCAAAGCTCAACAATTTTTCGAAGTGATTTTGCTGATGTGAAACCTGGTACAATTTAATTTTTGTTCATATAAAGAACAATTAACTCATGAGTTGACTAGGGATCTAGTCTTTCCTTTTTCAACAGTCATGTTGATTGCAGGAGCTGTTGGAGTGGGTTCAGGTGTAAAGTTCAAGGTTAAAAAAAAAAATCAATGAATTGAAAGAAGGTGGTGGAAGATATTCTGTATGATCTGTGGAGTGAGCAAAACCAAACTTGTGACTAGTGTTGGAGGGCACTCCCCAAAATTCAGTTCTCATAAAATGAACCTCCAGAGGTAACCCAAAAGTATATGTTTGAAATGTTATAGCCAAATTGAAAACATTTTCAAACTTATATGTTCTCAAAGTTGACTATATTGCCATTTCCCTTGTCATTTCTCAACAATACATTTACGGTAGCATAAATTTTAATTCAGCTTTTAATAAAAATCTCCAATATTTTTTCTGTAGAAAAGTGAATTTGTGCAGAATTAAGTTGTTTTTGTTTATTTTTTTTTTAACTATCCATACCGAGAGATACAAGCATAGGTGAATGGCCATCAGGTCATACTATTATTGTTTTGCTCACATTGGGTCACACAATGTTGTAAGTATCATACAGTAAAAAGAGATTTAAAACATAGTAGTGTTCAGCCAATAAGTCCCATTTACACATTTAACTATAAGCCAATATATCTGCTGGGATGTCTCCTCTTTGCAATGTTGCTTAAGTCAGGACAAGTTACCCCTTTTACTTAAAATTTTTGTTTTTATGTTGATGCAAAAATGAAATATATGTTGCAATAAATTCCAGTTATCTTCACCCCTTCTCCATTGCATGCCTTCTCCTGGCTATAAAGCACCATTGTACTTGCATCTGGTTTGATCAATGTTTGCATTCAAGGTTGTATAGGTGATAAGGAGGCATCTCAACACACATGAGGGAATATAAGCAGGCTGGTGTAGACACATACAATGCCTTTTGCAATACCGATGCCTGGTTATAACCAATTAACTCTATTGACTGTATGTAAGCTTTATGCCACATGCAAGCATACCGTTTGCTTTCTTTTGACATTTTTGGAAATGCAGATTCCCAAAAACATGTAATTTCTTAACAATATACATAAACATTGAGTTTGAGTATATTTATTTTTGTATTTTAATTTTGCTCCCATTGTATTTTATACATTTGTATTCATTTGTTTGTGCCACTTATTTCCTTATATTTTAGATTTATAGCAAAAAAAATTGATCCTACATATCTTTTTTACTTCATTGGCAGTGCTTTACACGAATGCTTTATTTTTTTAGGCATCAATGTAAAGCAATGTATACATACATTTAATATGCTACTTGTGCATCCCATGTTTCCTTTGTAAATGTTATGGTTTCTCTTTTGTTTGTTTTTACGTCTTTTTTTCTGATTTTAAATGAAATGGACTTGGTAATAGAGGTATCATATCTGCTTCATTTATGACTCTCATATAAAACCAGTGGTAAATAAAATGAATAGATTGCCAGCATTACCACTGCTACATCTCCTTATGTTGAAAACGTACTCTAAACTGAACTGAAAATAATTCATAAATAAAATGAAAAAACAAAGTTCCAAAAAATGAAAAATAAATGCACATACAGTAACTGTATTAATTTATAAACGGTGATAATTAAATGTATTTTAAGACTTTACACGTTATCAGATTTTTGGATAATACCTCTTGTTATTTTGAAAATGAGTAGACTGGAATCATATTTTGAATATAAATAAGAAAGTCCTGCAGTAAATCCAGGTAAATACTAAAAATCCATCATTGTTTGTTCATTGGCAAAGATAATGTTACAGAATATATAAGTATAAAATTACAGTGGATCAGTCAGCTTCTGGATTTGCATTGCTATTTTACCAGATTTTCCTTTCAACCAACTTCAAAATAAGAAATAAGAACAACACATACCAAACACAAATGTTTGCAAGGAATCCGGTTCTGGCCAAACCAGTATATTTTTAGTAAAGTATAAAAATAAAATCCAGCACTAGCTTTTGAAGGTTTTAAAGCAGCCCTGTCTCCATTTCATAAAGGAAAATGTATCATAAGACAATGTAGGGACCTCTTTGTCTTATGGTAAATCTCGAGTTGAAAAAACTTAACAAAAGATGGAGCAACTACCGTCAAGTTTTGTCACTTCCTAGAGTTGTCACTAGTTATTCAGGCGCCCAACGTGTACAACAGCAATGTTTCAACTGCTACAACAGTCTTTGTCAAAGGGCAGATCCAGAACCAGAATCAGGAGGGGCACTGTCAGATTAAACAAGAAACACAAGCTAATAAACATGTTTACTGTGACAAACATCCATACATGTTTAGACATGCAGGTTCCACGATGACAATAACACAGTTACCCTGCGTCTTGCCCAACAAATCAATTAAATATTCCCTTCCCTCTATATAGATTTGCTGAATGGGGCCACTGGCAATATTATTTTTATAATTTCTATGCAGACATTTGTCATATGTCTGCATAGAAATTATGTTCTATGTCCTTAGCTTCTCAGGGTGGCTTATTTGCCCTAGTACTCTATCTATGCATCTGCTACTGGTTTCAGCTTCAGGAGGAGTAATTCAATTAACATGATTTAAGCATCAAGGTGAGTGAAAAAATGAGCAGGTTTAGCTAGTTTTAACCCTGCAGCTGAAAACATAGCAGTTTCAGAGAAGCTGCTATGTTTACACTGCAGGGTTAATCGAGCCTCTAGTGGCTGCCCCCTGACAGCCACTAGAGGCGCTTTTGCGAGTTACATCGAGTAAATCACATTTATTTGACGCGGGACGTCTTCACAGACCTCCAGCATCAAAAAAGATGCGTGGGTTTGAATGTACGCGCGTCTCTGGCCGTGCATGCACATTCAGCACCACTTGGGAGCTGATGTTGATTGAAGAGGGAGCCTGGCGCTAGATTAAGGTAAGCAAATATATAATTAACCATTTATTCACCACGGAACAGGGCCCTAGTCGCCGTTTAGGTGACTAGGGCTCTATAGTGTTAGGAATACATATTTGTATTTCTAACGCTATAGAGTTCCTTTAAGCCCATCAATACTTCACAGTACCCCAATACACTAATGCCAGATGTGGGAGACAAATTAAATAGTGCTAAATAAGCTAAAGCGTATTCAGATAATCTATTGTAAGAGCATCGTAAGTATACAAAATTAATGTGATAAAAGCAATTAAAAACCGTGTTTGAAACTAAACAATCAAAGTGTTAGTGGTTGGATGAATATACTCACAATGCAAATGATATATGTGCTAAATCAAGGTTATAATAAAAGTGACATTACCATTCAAAAACTCATATACACACACACACATATATATATATATATACACACACACCACACCACCCCCTCTGTCGTCACCTCCAAAGGTGCCTCCGAAGCTGGGGGTCTGAGCTAGCTGCTTAACCCCAAAGGGAATCTGGTCTGGATTCTAAACTTGCATAGTAAATAAAAATGGATTGGGGACACACCAATCTCCTGTCAGGATTACTGTTTGATCCAGCACGTAGAACTGTACAGCACGAATGACAAATAAGTAACGTATTACCGGTCCTTAGAATGGCCGGATTTAACGTACAAAGAATAGTCAACTGACCCCAAAGTCAGTTACCAGGTTTCATTTGCATAATTGCTGCTCAGCATTAACCCTTCTGTGGATTAGGTTGCTGCTCGGCACAACTTTTCCTGTGTGGACAGTAAATGTCATTAACCACTTTTCTATAATCGGATGAATACATGACACCAGGTTTCATTTGCACAATTACTGCTCAGCATTAACCCTTCTGTGGATTAGGTTGCTGCTCGGCACAACTTTTCCTGTGTGGACAGTAAATGTCATTAACCACATTTCTATAAGCGGATGAATATGTGACATTACCCCCCACCTGAAGAACGCCCACCGGGCGGACAGGACCAGGCTTGAGAGGAAATTTAGCGTGAAAAGCGCGGATCTTACGGCCCGCATGCAGGTCAGGAGCCGAAACCCAAGAACGATCAGCAGGACCGTAACCTTTCCAAACAACCAAGTACTGTAAAGTGCCCCGAGAAAACCTAGAATCCACGATAGAAGATACCTCATACTCTTCCTGACCACCCACCACCACCGGAGGGGGAGGAACACAAGGAACAGTATATCTATTGCAAACAAGAGGTTTGAGTAAGGACACATGAAAAGTGTTGGGAATCCCTAAAGATGCAGGAAGAGCCAGAGAGTAAGACACTGGATTGATCCTACGAAGCACTCTATAGGGACCAAGGAATCTGGGGGCAAACTTCATGCTAGGGACCTTAAGCTTGATGTTGCGAGATGACAACCAAACCCGGTCCCCCACTTGGTACACCGGGTTGGCACTCCTACGCTTATCAGCAAAATGTTTGAAGCGTTCAGCAGCAGCCCCTAGAGCAGTTTGAACCTTAACCCAGGTATCCCGAATGGAGGCCAGACGCTCATCCAGAGCAGGAATGGCAGTATCAGAAAATACCGCAGGGAGAACCGTAGGATGCCTACCATTATTGACAAAAAATGGACTGTGCCCAGAGGAGTCATGAACAGCATTGTTTCTAGCGAACTCGGCCCACGGGAGTAGTTCGGACCAATTGTCTTGTGTGCTATTAATAAAACAACGCAAATAAACTTCTAATGACTGGTTAGCCCTCTCAGCTGTACCATTGGTCTGTGGATGGTAGGAGGAGGAGAAGGAGAGATCAATCCCCAATTGTTTACTGAACGCCCTCCAGAACCTGGACACAAACTGAGAGCCCCTATCAGACACAATATTGTGGGGGATGCCATGCAAACGGACAATTTCACGTATGAAAATTAGGACCAAATCTTGCGAAGATGGCAACTTCTTGAGAGGAATGAAGTGAGCCATCTTAGAAAATCGGTCTACAACCATGAGAATAGTAGTGAACCCAGCAGAGCTAGGAAGCTCAACAATAAAGTCCATGGATAAGTGGGACCATGGAATCTCAGGAACAGGAAGAGGCTGCAACAGGCCACAAGGAAGTGCATGAGTCACCTTAGAAACTGCACACACAGAACATGCCTGCACATACTCCTTTACATCTTTCCTGAGTGAATCCCACCAAAATGATCTAGTGATCGCGGCAGTGGACTTATTGATGCCCGGGTGTCCAGCAGTTATATTGTCATGGAACACTTTCATGATATTAACCCTTTCACATAGGGGAACGAACAGTTTATCACACGGTTTACCACTGGGCGCCTGAGGCTGGGCCTCCAGTATGGTGCCAAGCAGTGGAGAAGACAGTGAGAGGACAGTAGTAGCAATAATACACTCTGGTGGAATAATAGGAGATGTCACCTGTTCCGGAGCTGACTCATTATCAAATTGCCTGGACAAGGCATCAGCCTTGGTATTTTTAGAACCAGGTCTATAAGTAATGAGAAAGTTAAAACGTGAAAGGAACAGTGACCATCTAGCCTGTCTGGAAGACAAACGTTTGGCATCCCCTATATATGCCAGATTTTTGTGGTCGGTTATGATCAACAGGGGGTCCTTGGAACCCTCCAAAAGATGTCGCCACTCCTTGAGGGCAAGAATAATGGCCAACAGTTCTCTATTGCCAATATCATAGTTGCGCTCAGCAGGAGACATCTTTCTGGAGAAGTAGCCACAAGGATGCAATGGTGTTCCCTGGCTTTCTCTCTGAGAGAGAACAGCCCCTACCCCTGTCTCGGATGCATCAACCTCCAATATAAAAGGTTTACTAGTGTCGGGATGTTTTAGTATGTCCGCAGAGGCAAATCTTTGTTTAAGAGTCTCAAAAGCATTCACAGCCTCTTTGGACCATACCGTGCTACTAACCCCTTTGCGAGTCATATTTGTGATTGGGGCTATTACAGAAGAAAATCCTTTGATGAATCTTCTGTAATAGTTGGCAAAACCAATAAACCTTTGAATGGCTTTTAAACCAGAGGGTAATGGCCAGTGTAGTACAGCCTCTAGTTTTTTATGATCCATTTGAAATCCCGATGCAGAGATGTTGTAACCCAAAAAGTGGACTTCAGGCTGGTCAAATATGCACTTTTCTAATTTACAATAAAGTTTATTTTTCAACAACGTCTGCAGAACCTGTTTCACATGGGAGTGGTGAGTTTGAAGATCAGGGGAATACACCAAAATATCGTCCAAATAAACCAAGACAAATGAGTAAATTGAATTCCCTGAGTACATCATTTATAAAGTCTTGGAATACGGCCGGGGCGTTGCATAACCCAAATGGCATTACCAGATATTCATAGTGTCCACTACGGGTATTAAATGCCGTCTTCCACTCATGATTCTCTTTAATTCTAACCAAATTGTAAGCGCTCCTAAGGTCAAGCTTAGTAAATACTTTAGCTCCCTGAAGTCTATCGAACAATTTGGAAATGAGTGGGATAGGGTATGCATTTTTTACAGTGATTTTATTAAGTGCCCTGTAGTC